TGTAAAGCACTTATCACAGTGCCTAGAACATAGTAAATGCTATATAAATGTTAGTTATTGTTATTATTGCTGTCATTTTTATTTAGTTTTCTCCCTATCAGGGCTTTGACAAAGTAACCTTCACTTTTGCAGGGTGGGTGTTGCCTGTATTCTCCTACTTATACAGAATTGTATTCGACTGTCCAGTCTTGCTGGCATTCTGTTCATGTTTTAGTCACAATCTCATTGAAATCTGGTTCTAAATCTAGTTTAAAAAACTTTCAAAAGCCTAATTTTCTGAAGGTTACAGTATATAATATCATGTAATGACTATGTGTATTGGTATGGTAAAGCAGATGAGAAGTCCATGGGTGGCCACTTCTTATGCTTTGACAAGAAGGGCTTAATGATAAAAATGTGCATGCCCTTTGACCCAGCAATAGCACTTCTAGGGCTATATTCCAGAGAGATCATACAAATGAGAAAAGGACCCACATGTACAAAAATATTTATAGTAGCTCTTTTTGTGGTGGCAAAGAATTGGAAGTTGAGAGGATGCCCATCAATTGGGGAACGGCTGAACAAGTTGTGGTATATGAATGTAATGGAATATTATTGTGCTATAAGAAATGATGAACAGGCTGACTTCAGCAAAACCTGGAAAGACTTGTATGGTTTGATGCTGAGTGAAGTGAGAAGAACCAGGAAAATGTTGTACACAGTAACAGCCACGTTGTGGGATGACTAATATTGATAGACTTAACCCCTCCCAGCAATACAAGGATCTAAGATATCTCCAAAGGCCTCATGATGGAAAATGCTATCCACACCCAGAGAAAGAACTATGGAGTTTGAGTGCAGATTGAAGCATACTATTTGCTATTTTTTTTCTTCTGTTGTGTTTTGTTTCCTCTTTCTGGTGGTTCCTCCAATTGGTTCTAATTCATACTTACAACATCACTAATGTGAAAATATGTTTAATAGGAATGTGTATGTATAGCCTATTATCAGATTGCATGCCATCTTGGGGAGGGAAGTGGGGTGGAAGGGGAAGAAAAATTTAAAACCCAAAAGCTTATAGGAGTGATTGTTGATAATTAAAAATAAATTAATTTAAAAAAATAAAAAAAAAAGAAATGCTTAATGATCTTTCCCTGGAATACAAAACATAGTTGCTCCTGATACTGTCGGAGCTGGATTCTTCTAAACTGAGTTCCTGATGCCATGTTGATATCTAGGGGAAAAAATATCTTTTGGGTGGAGGCAACCTCAAGAAATTCAATAGAGTGGTGAAGAGCAAGATTGCCAAGGTAGGGAGCATAGAAGTAAGCAAAGAGAGTACGACATTTCAATGAGCTCATTTGAGTTCTTTCATAACCAAAATCTTTGTGAAAGCAAATTGAATTCACTGTCTAGAAATACTTTTCATGCTGTTGGTTGATGGAATCAGTTAGAACAATGATCTCTTTAATTGTCTTTATAATTGGCATACCATGCCTTAAAAGGGTATCAGAATTCACTGAACCCATTAAGAGTTGGCATCTTGACTTAATAGCATCAACAAATAGGGATTTTAAGTAATAAGGCATTTGTATTGCTTATTAGTTACTACCACAAGTAAGTAGACCAAAAAAAAAACTCAAGATCATCTATTAATATTGGCTCTTGAGTTTAAGGAAGGTAAATCAGTGTCTGAGTAAATGATTCCCTGGAATTTGCAGGCAATATATTTCTCAAAGTAGCTCCTGGTTTGGGGATCAGTTAAGGCACTTCTGATTATAAGTTGTGGCTGGTCAGCTAGAGGTTGTAACTACAATTTTAAGTACTTTAGCTGCCACTAAAGTGATGATAGGCCCTGGAAATAAACTTCAAAGAATCCCTAGCTTTCTGTAAACTTTGTTGTAATGCTTTGACTTCAGATGAGATGTCAAACAAGTGAACATGAATCTCACATCTGTGCCAATCAGAGCTCTCTTAAGTAACTGGTCAGTAACTATTAATATTGGCTTATGTGTTTAATAAAGGTATAGAAGTGGTGCTTAGCAGCCTTATAGAAGTTTTAAATTTTGAATGTTGTGATTTGGTTTTTCAAAAAGCTATATTTAGACCCTATATCAAATCCATTTTGTGATTTGAAATTTACTGTATTCCTCACTTGTCCCCATCTCTTTCATTAACACTATCATAAGGTTATTCTAATGATGACAGTGCTGGGGCATGCAATTCAGTTTTACTTCATGGCCCAGCATCATCCACAAACCAGAACTGAGGGTAAACCTTCCATTCCCTTTATGAAAAATATTTCACAAACTGAAACAATGTGAACTAGCCAGCTGTATAATCTTCATGTTCCTCCAACATTTAGTTGGCCCCTACTGCCTTGTCCCTCAATACTCCAGTCCATTCTGTATTGTTATCAAATTGACCTTCCTAAATCACAGATCTATGTTGCTCCCCTATCCAGTTAACTACAGTAGCTCCCTATTGCCTATGAAATCAGTCAGTTAACATTTATTAATTGCCTATGTACCAGGTACTGTGCTAAGCTGTAGGAATACAAAGAAAGGCAAAAGACAGTCCCTATTTTCAAAGGAGCTCAAAGTATGATGAGAGAGACAACATGAAAACTACTAAGCACAAATGAGCTCTACATAGGATTAATTTGAAATAATTACAACATATAAAATCTTGTGTGGCTTTTAAAGTTCTTCATAACTTGACCCCTCCCTACCTTTCCAGTCTTCTTACACGTAACTCTCCTCCAGAGTCTCTTTGCTGTTCCTTCTACAAGACAAGTATCTCCTGATTGCATTTTCATTGACTGTCCCTCATGCTCTCTCCATCTTCATCTCCTGGCTTCCTTCGAATCTCAGCTAAAACCTCTTTCTGCAAGTAACCAATGGCAGTCTCTCTTAATATTAATGCCTTACCTCTTGAGATCATGTCCAACTTATCCTGCATATGTCTTATTTGTACAAAATTGTTTGCATGTTTTCTCCCCAATTAAACTAAATTCCTTGACTGCAGCAGCCCCCCCACCCCACCCCCACTATCACTTTTTTTTTTTTTTTGCACCTTTGAGGATCTGGCAAGGAGTGCTTTGAGAAATGTTTGTTGACTGGAATTTAGATCATATCCACAATTGGATTAAACATAAATCTGGCACCAATTCTGAAAATGGATGGATCCAGGTATAGATGTTAGGAAACTTTAGTGATACTAGGTTGAACCTGAAAGACTAAAGCTGATATACTGATGTGTGCTTACTAGCAAAGACAGAAATAAAAAGGAAGAAACAACTGTCTTCATTCTATTCACTTTTTACATTGTTTATATTGTTATTTCTCTGAAATCAGTAATATACTTCCCAGGCTTCAATGTAGCAAAGAGGGAAGGGAAACCCACAATGATATTTTTATGGTTCTACAGTGTCTTTTCAGAAAAGCACAAAAGGGAAGCATAGCATCTTTTGTGTATGTATGCATATTAAAAAAAAACCCTCTACAAATGACCTTTGAGATACATGATTTTAGAATATATTCTTTGTAGTACTGCATTTAGGTTATTTCTAATTGGCTATTTCTATTTAGGTTTATTTCTGTAATTTAAGTTATTTCTAAGAAGAAATGCCTAGCACACATCTTTTCTTTCTGAAAAAAGGGCAGGAATAGTAGAGAACCAATCAGTTCATACTCCACAATACTGTCATACCAGTGATGCTAAATTTAGAAGCCTAGGAAACACATGCTGTCCTGAGGTCAGGTAGGCTTGGAAGTTCTAGGTTCAAGAAACTACAACAAAAATGAGTTAAAATGATGTAGGAAGAGGAAAAGTCTTAGCTTAAGATTGTTTGGGAAACTAGGCCTAATTTTTAATCTCCCCATGTTTTTCCATTCTGCAGTGGCAAACAATTTCAATTTATCCATAACAAGTCAAAAAAAGAATTCATTTAATTAGTGATATGTAAAGACTTTTGCATAGAAAAAAGTTACAAAGTAATGTAAAAACAAAGACTAGGTACAGTATTTTTAAAACAAATATTTTAAAGTATATTTTGCATAATGTTTAACATTCTCATAATGTTTATTGCTTTCTCCACACAGCAGAGAAATCAAGTGCATAATACATGCTGTGTCTTTATTTTCCAAAACATAAAATCTCACGTGCTTGATTCAATGTATTAAAAGATTATTTTATGTCATAAAACAAAAGCAAAAAAACAAACCAAAACACCATTGTGTAGCACTATTTGTCTGGGTGTGGACATAAAATAATTTACTGGCATGACATTGAATACATTCATCTTGGTTTGGAATCAAATAAAATTTGTAAATTTGGGAAAGAGCAACTTAAAAAAAAATAGTGCCTTTTCTTTTCCTAATGCTCCCTACCCATCTCATCATCTGTTGTCCCCAGAAATTACAATCTCCCTCATAGGTGACAGAAAGATTTTGCATGTTATCAGGACGCAATGAAAAGTATATATAATATATATAAAAATAGTCCAAATGCAACTAAATAAGTTAATTTAACATCTTACAAAGAAGTTTTTTTTTTATTGGCATGAATCAAATATCCTCCAGTGGGCACTCACTAGGCAGTTACATACATATAGGTGCACTAATAAAGAAGCACCACATTTTAAGCCATTTTTTTAAAAAAAGCGCCTGAAGGCTTGCAAGTGGTGCAAATTGTTTGTTAATCCAAGCACTGATAGGATAATTGCTTACACCAATGCTATGTTAAATGTCACCACTTGGCAAGTCTGTACAAAGAAAGTAAACTAGGTAAGATAAAACTAGGCCTTTCAACATGAAAATTATTTCTCAGCAACCCCTTTTAGCTAAATAAATCTGTTGGTTTTAACAGTGCACTCTTCTCTGGAAATGTATCAAATGTCTGTAGCCTAATGCAATACTCCTTCCCTTCTCATTTCTTAACCCATACCTCTCTATCGTCTTTCCTTGTGCAATGTTATTCCTTTATGAAGAAAATATTCAATAGGTCAGGCACTTATGAAACTTTAAATCGTGTTTTTTTTTTTCCATCCAGCCTCAGGAGAATTCCATGGAGTATTTTCTTTCCTAACCCACAAACATGAAGATGTATAGCTGGAAGATTATCTCTAGAATCTGTATATTTCCCTCATAAACTTTTAAACGGTAAAAAGAATGTGACATTTTCAAAAGCTCACTGATGTTAGTTAACAAGATGCCTAAAGCAAAAACAAAGAAGAAAACAGGCAATATCCTTTCTTCTTGTGAGATCTGTATCTAAAAACAGTGTTTTTTGTTTCTTGGTGGCTTTTCAGGCATCTGTCATGGCTGCTACCTTCAGGGTGCAGGCCTTGAAGCTGACTCTGAAATGAAGGACATTCGGTTACTACTGCCAAAGTCTAGTAGAAAGCTTCCAGGGAATATTAAAAAGCTCCAACTTCAGTCCCCCAGGGTCGGTAAGGTTTACTGTTGGTTCCACTGCCTGTCTGCTGGGGATTAGAAGTTGCTGACACAGATAAAGGTGGGCTGATGGCTGTTGCAGCTGCTACTGCTGCTGCTGCTGCATTTGGTGGGAGCATGGGGAATGCCCCGGCAAAGGAAAGGGGGAAGCTATGAGCAGCTGCTGTGGCCGCTGCAGCAGCAGCATGGACAGTGGCGGAGAGGGACAAGAGAGAAGTAGAGAGGGGTGGAACACAGGGAGCCACGCTGCCGGTGGAAGGCATTCGAAGTGCAGAATCGGCATGAGCAAAAGTGGCTGTGAGAAGAGCTGAGCCATGGGAAGGGGGAGGCACTTCTGACGCTGTGGACAATCGACAAGGGGTGGGTTCTGAGGCGTGCAGTCCATTTTGTTGAAGCAAAGCTGTAGGAAGATGGTGAAAAGCAGCTGTCCAATGATGTGGATGTAAAGGGTGATGATGGTGGTGGGCCATAGAGCTAGTCATGGCGGCTGCCTCCCTCTGAGAGGCACAGGTACTGAGATGAGAAACCAGTCGAACTCTCAGGGGATCCGATGTGTCCAGACCTTCCACTGAACTCAGGTACCTGGCAACTTCAGTTAAGCATTCTCGGAATCCAATGCTCATGAAATCCATGGCGAGTGCATGGGCGTCAAAATAACCTGAAAGATAGAATTGGGGAAGGAAAAAGGAAAAAAAAGGGGGGGGAGAGGGAAAGAGTGAGAAAAATAAACAAAAAACAGCATGAGTAAATACCAGCCAATGTTCCACTTTGCCCTTGCTCAGATTTAGCTAGAATCTATTCCTTCTAAACTCAGGACAGTTATTTGTATTTTTAGTTTTATAGACGTTTTTAAAAAATGTATTTGGTAATTTACATGTGTAACAAACTCTAGCAATACTGTACACAACAATTCCTGCAACCAAATATCACAGTGGAAAAAGAAATTAAGAACATTCATGCTTCAGACTCTTCAAAAAATATGCTATCGCTCTCTTCTTGTACCATGGGAGATGGAATTCCACGGCAGGCCTTTTCATGGTAATAGAGATCTAGTCTGTCTCCTTTACACACAACATGGATTGAAGATTAAAGGCCTGTCTATAACATCCTGCCCCTTTCTCTCTGGTGTTGGCCTTTATAACCTAGATGCTAAACACCACATACATTTTGACAGTCTGAGGACTTTCTTTAGCACTTTTATTTGGATATCGTCTGCTTAGTAAAATTCTGAGTGCATCTTGTCATGCTGTGTTACTTAACAGCAAACTGAAAACATCTTGTCAGTGCTCCTCATGAAGAAAAAAATCTCAGTGGAAACAAAATGAGGTTTTTTTAAGTGTAATTCCGTTACTAACTTTAAGGGCTATATTAATCAGTTTTTGCCAACCAGTACATGGCTGCTTAATGGTATAAGATACCTAATGGAATTCTTAACTTCACTGAATTTCATTATAAATGCCGCTCATTCTTAAGCATATGTTTATTTGGCACTTTTCCAAGAACAGTCTAATAAGTAAGTGGGTGTGTATATACTTACACACACACACACACCTGAAATTAGCCTCATAACTGGCTCAAAGGTGAGTCACACCATCATAAGATTTGAACCTTAGTTCATCTATTCTAGCTTTCTCATTTCACAGATGGGAAAACTGAAGCCAGGAGAGGCTAATTGATTTGCCAAAGTTCACATGGGTAGTAGTAAAGTTGGACTAGGCCTCAGTTTCTTTTTCTTAATGACATTTTATTACTGATTTTTAGATTACATATAATTCTTCTTCTTCTTTTTTTTTTCCCCCTGAGGCAGTTAGGGTTAAGTGACTTGCCCAAGGTCACACAGCTAGCATGTGTCAAGTGTTTGGTCTGAGGCCGAATTCGAACTCAGGTCCTTTTGACTTCAGGGCTGGTGCTCTATCCACTGTGCCACCTAGCTGCCCCTATATAATTCTTCTTAATCCTGATAATGTCATCATAGTCCCCAGTCTGCCCAGGTTCATATCACCTCATGCTTGAAATGTGGTTCAGATCCCTTAATTAGTCACTGCCTCCAGTTTTTCTCCTCTACAAGTGACCCCTGATACACTTTTAGATCAGGTCTCCTGGAGGGAAGCTTTTATGTGCTGCTGCACTCCTCAAACTTTCAATGGTTCTGCATTTGCTATAGGATAAAACTCAGATTCCTGCTATTGAAGGCATTTCAGAAACTCAAATTTTCTAACCATGGGAGGAAGAAGAAGACTATAGTGGATAGGGCCCTGGTCTTGGAGTTAGGAAGATATGGGTTCAAATACTGCCCTAGAAACTTACTAGCTGTATGACCCTGGGTAAACCACTTAAATTCTCTGTGCTATACTGTTTTTACTTTAATTTTTTTTTTAATTTATGGAATAAAACAAGCATTTCTATAATACAGTACAATAAAAAAGATGATTGCATATGAAACTGCAAATCTATTATGTACAACTTGCTATTCTTTTTAAACATAAAATAAAATTATCACAGAAATGTCTTTTTTCCCCTTTTTTTCCTTCCCTTCCTCGCTCCCACTCCGGCCCTAAAGATGGCTACCATTTGACACAAATAGGTATATATACATATATATATGTAAAATTATTCTATAAATATTTCTATTGATGTTTTTTCTCTGGATGCAGATAGCATCTTTCTTTATATGTCTTTTATAGTTAATTTGGGTATTTATAATAGTCAAAATAACTTATTTGCTCAAAATTGTTCTTGAAACAACATTGCTAGGGGCAGCTAGGTGGCACAGTAGATAGAGCACCGGCCCTGGAGTCGGGAGGACCTGAGTTCAAATCCAGCCTCAGACACATAGTGCTCACTAGCTGTGTGACTCTGGGCAAGTCACTTAACCCCACTTGCCTCACCAAAAAAAACCCCCCAATATTGCTATTACTGTATACAGTATTCTATTGGTTCTGCTCAATTTGTTCTTCATTATTTCATGCAAGTCTTTCCATGTTTCTCTAAAATCATTGAGCTCATCGTTTCTTATAGCATAGCAGTATTCCATTACAATCATATACCACAACTTGTTCAGCCAATTCCCTAACTGATGGGTATCCCTGCAATTTCCAGTTCTTTGCCACCACGAAGAGAGCTGCTATAAACATTTTAGAACACATACGCGTCCCCTATCCCTTTCCCTAATTATCTTCAGAAATAGACCAAGTAGTGGTATTACTGGGTCAAAAGGTATAGGCAAAGGGGCAGCTAGGTGGTGCAGCGGATAGAGCACTGGCCCTGGAGTCAGGAAGACGAGTTCAAATCCGGGCGTCAGACCAGACACTCGACACATACTAACTAATTAACCCCAATTGCCTTTAAAAAATAAATAAATAAAAATGAAGATAACTTTCCAGTCCTGGAGTAAGGAGGACCTGAATTCAAATCCAGCCTCAGACACTTGACACTAGCTGTGTGACCCTGGGCAAGTCACTTACTCCCGACTGCCAAAGCAAAAAAACAAAACAAAAGGTATAGGCAATTTAATAACTCTTTGGGCATGATTTCAGATTGCCTTCCAAAATGGTTCTATCAGTTCACAATTCTACCAACAACGAATTCGTTTCTTTACGTCTTAAAAAATGAGAAGGGCTGGACTGAATGGCCTCTAAAGACTCCTTCTAAAACCTATGATCCCATGAATCTAAAAGCCATGGTTCTTCCTACTATGTCACAGTTAATGTAAAACTATCCCTTTATCAGGACATAATATATGTTAAGTAGAACAACTTACATATATAGGGGAAAACAGGCAATGCGACACAGTAGAGATAGTGATAGGTATGGAGTCAAAAAGACCTGGGTTCAAATATCTCCAATGACACTTTCCAGCTGTGTTACCCTGGGCAAGTCATTTAACCTCAATGAACCTCAAACACATTCCTACAACTTAAGGCTGGAGATGTGATCAGGGTTGGTGAAGGGGGTTCCTACACTGGGAATTCTACCCACTGATGAAATCACAGCTCCTTTACATATTTACATGTAGGAAAAACAAAATTAGTGGCAATGATAAGTATAGGGGTAAGTTCTCTACTTTGTTTCAAAAAGTAATCTTTAGAAAATAAAAATAATGGGTTTTTTTTTTAGATTTTTTAGAATTGGTAGAAAGAATATGGGCTTTGGAGCTAGAGGACCCAGGTTCAAATCTCATTTCTGGTGTCAATCACTTGTGCTACATCGGCACTTAACCTACTTCAATTTCTTCATCTACAAATGAAGGGTGAGAATAGTCCTTTCCAGCTCCAGACCTATGATCCTAAGTATGGAGTAGTGTTCTCTCTCTCTTAACTTGATATAATAATGCCATTTCCAGTTATTTTTTCACCCTTAGGATGAAATCTTTCCATGAACCTACATATATATGTGTGTATGTATGTAAGAGATAATGTAATCACACATAACTGTCATCTTTTGTAACTACTCAACAGAGAAGAAATCGTTTGTGGCTTCTGTTACATATATCAATTACTAGAAAGGTCCTAGATGACCATTTTTCAGGGATGAGGTAGAGTAAATTCTTGTCAAGGTACAAGGTTGGACTAGATTTCCTCAGAGGTCCCTTCTGACTCTGAGATTCTGTGACCATTATATTCCATAGCCAAATCACCTTGGAGAATAGTTGTCCCATGTATTAAAAATTCTATATTTAGAATTACAAGTCTGGAAGTCTTGGAAACATATTTAGAGGTAAAAAAGACTTTACCAAAAAGAATGTATGCCTGAAAAATCCACCCGAGTGAAGTTTGGATTCAGTCAAAGGGCCGAACTTAAGGACCTAGAGGGCAACTTGGGGCCTCGAGGCTGAAGTTTTCCTACCCCTGAGTTAGTCAAACTGAAAGGTGTTAGATAAGTACAAAAGAGAGCTATAATTACCCCTAACATATTAATAGTGCTATTAACAAATTACATTTTAGATCAGGAAGCAAAGATATTTCTGAAATAGAAGAACCCTCAATGGAAAGTGCATTATCTTCTAAGTTCTCAGGTTAACAAAGTCAGAAGATGAAATCTCCCAGAACAGTGTAAATCAGAGACAAGGGAATGAAGTTTAGAAACTGACATTACTCAGCTTGTTCATAGCTACAAAGGAGACAGAAGATAGGCCAATACAATTTATTCCAGAAACTCCCAGGAAATTTTCCTTTATAGCCATAAACTGAACACATTCCAACACCATACTTTATTATGTAACTTAAAGGCCTGAATAGTTTACTGTTTCTTAATGTTAACTGAAAAATAATACAAATTACAAATGCCAAATGCAGACAGAAGTAAAAAAAAAAAGTTGTTAAAAAAATAAATTAGAATCTAGCCACATCCCAAGGCTAAAAACCTTTGACAAAGGACGTTCTATCGACTAAAAGACATGGTAACTGCATATTTCTTCCCCAAACCTTTATGTATCACCTACCTAATTATTTTTTAAATTACCTACCATGAACAGACAGTATGAACTTTAAAAAAAAAATGAATGTTCTCTCCCAATTGCCTCACCAAGACAAAAACAAAACAAAACAAAAAATGTTCTCTTTTGAGGCAAACTTCAGAAGTGTTCTGAATAGCTCCTGGAGTAGGACTCAAAATGATAATTCAAATATAAGAAAGCCAGCCACATTTCAAGGAAGTGCAGCTGGTATTTACTTTTGTATTGTGGTTATCTGTGACTGTATCATTGTATCCTAAGACTAGACTGTAAATTTCTTGAAGGCAGGATTTCATTTTATCTAAATCCTGCATTTTTCCTGGTATCTAGTACAGTGCTCGGTGGACAGTGTTTTAATGAGCTTCTAATTTAGTCTGGCCCTATTAAGGTGAGAGATTTTCATTTGACCTTAATAGGGCCGGACTCTGCTCATTGGCAAAAATAAAGTTGGAAGGGACTTCAGAAGTCCTTAGTCCAACCTCTATTTAAAAGCATGATTCCTTCTTATAACATTCCTGATATGTAGTTATCCAGTCTCTGAACAACTACAGGGACAGGGCATATCTTATACTTCTGGCTTACGTTTTCATAAAACAGAAATCAAAGTTTTATTCATTTTGTCTAACTTTAGTAATAATAACACTTATAATGGTGCTTACTATGTACCTGGTAATATGTTAAGTACTTTACAATTACCTCATTTGATTCTTGTGATAACCCTGGGAGATAGGTGATATTATCATCTTCATTTTACAGATAAGAAAACTGAGGCAAATAGAGGTTAAAATGACTTGCCCAGGGTCACTACTAGTGTCTGAGGTCGGGTCTTACTTTTACGATTACCTAGCATTTCAGTTTGCAAAGGCCTTTAGTCCAGAACAGCTCAGAGAGATGGGTAGTACAGTTACTTTTACTGCTATTTCAAGTCAGTTATCCTAGTCACACTGTAAGTGGTATAATAGGACTAAAGCCCAGGCTTCCTGACTAAACTTCATCCACTGTCCTTTATAGTTACACCAATCTGTACTTGGGAAGGTAAGGCCTGAGGGAAATCACACTGTAAGAGTGTTCCCTAAACAGCTTTATAAGGTAGTTAAAATAAACATTAAGGACATCCTTTGAGAGGAAACACAGTCATACAAAGGCTATATGTAAAACCTGAGGGATGTGCATGGGAACGTTTAAAGGCTTTCCTCTGTCCCTTAGTAGATGAATTTTAGGTCTTTTTTAAAAAAGAGATCCCTAACTAATAGAAGTATTCCCTTCTCATCTTTCCACTACCTCCATCAAACCATTGCCCAGCCCACTCCCCATGGCACCTAAATCTGGGGCCTGGAACCTGGGAATAGTTATTTCCATTAATTGTGTGAAATACAGAAGTTTATTATTGGTTATTTAAAATAGCTTTCTACTTCCCTTCACCCTGCATCAAATAAAAGCTATCCAAAACAACAAAGAATTTTCACTTCCTTACAGATACCTACATTATATCAAATTCTAGCATTGGTTTTGGTGCAGCCTAATGATTGTCGCCAACCTCCTGTTTATGTTTGGATGTTTGTGTGTTTGTTTTGTCTCCCCATGCAGATTTCGGTGCTTTTCTGAAACCCCAAACAAACCTCTGACTGGGCTGCTCGTGAATGAAGCCTTTACTCCTACGGTGTTATGAAAGCAAACACAAGCCCAGGGTCAAGTGTTTCTTTTGTTCCAGCAGTCCTTTCCCACGAGTTTAATCCTGCCATTAGCATTGATTTCCACTGCTTTAATCTGGGACCGCCTATCCCAGCATGTTAAAAAACTGTTCAGCTCTGGGTTTACGGTATTTAAATAAAAAAAAAAGGTACAGAGAGAAAGTAACTTACTTTTACCTCCTGTTGCTTGAAGCATCTTCAAATGATCCACTGTCATTTGTAGTATTTCTGCTTTTTCCAATTTTGCAGATCCCTTGAAGAATAAAAATAATAAAGCCTTATAAATCCTGCAGGTTCTAATTTAGTATACTTTTCATTGAACTTAATGTTATGGTTTTAATTTTCCTTGCTATCAGAGCATTATTAGTTTAATTTCTTCCCAAAATATATCTTAGATGTCTACCAGACTTCATAGTACATCACTGAATAGCTGTAACTATTCATACTACGCCATAGCTTGTAATATTTAGCACATCTACTTTTAAAGAATGACTGGAGATCTAATAAAATATTTGACCTTATAAAAGACTTTCTGAACCTGGAGAAACTTACATGCACCAATGCTGAATGAAGTGAGCAGAACCAGGAGAACATTGTACATAGTAACAGCAACATTGTGTGATGATTCACTTTGATAGACAGTTCTTCTCAGCAATGCAAGGATCTAAGCAACTCCCAGAGACTCATAATGGAAAATGCTATCCACATCCAGAAAAAGAATTATGGAATTTGAATGCAGATCAAAGCATAACTATTTGCTCTTTTTTTTTTTTTGTTTCTTTCTTGTGGTTCCTCCTATTGGTTCTAATCCTTTTTTACAACATGACTAATATGAAAACATGTTTAATATGAATGTATGTGTAGAGCCTATATCAGATTGCACACCATCTTAGGGAGGGGAGGAAAGGGGAGAAAATTAAGAGCTCAAAATATTATGGAAGTGAATGTTGAAAACTAAAAAATACATTAATTAAAAAAAAAAGATCACCTCATGAAATACAAAAAAAAAAGACTTTCAGGTATATTGACAGTGTCATATATTTTTTATGTATATTAAAATACCGAATTCAAATCTGTATAGTTGTATAGGATAAAAAGCTTTGTATCTATTTTTTATCTTGGGAAAAAATGTCCTTTGCCTTATTTTGGATGTTAAAATAGTATTATAGGATATTACAGGCTTATTGATTATTATACGATACAAAGTATACATGATTTTAATGACTTAATGACTTTAATGACTCAGAACTGAACTTTTAGTCTCTTAAAGGAAAAATGATTTTGCCATTAAAGTAATGCACTAGCTCCTTATCAGCAAAGTCCCTCCCTGGATGAAAGAAAAACAAAAAAACCCAAACCAAAAAAAAACCAAAAAACAAAACCTTTTCAGTTTTGACCAGCAGGTGTCACTCTGTGTATCAATATCCAAAAGACTAGAGGAAAACTCAGTTCTAATCTGGGTAATAGTTTAAATTCTTAAGGACCTTTGAATCATTTTTTAAAGGTTGTGATAGTTTCTCTATAATTTAATTAGAAATACTTTTCCTCCCATTTTGCTTTGCTTTGGTTATTTATTTGTATATGCGTCCTCTTGATCAGACTGAGCTCCTTCATAGCGGAACCTCAGACATTTAAAAATGTTGAAATTATTTCCTTGTAAAGATACCTTTGAAAAGCCACTGGGACACACAGATATCTCTTAAGGCTTCTCGACTTGCCAGCAAAAACTGGATGGATAATGTATAACATATTAAATTCTTATGTTTTCAAAACAGAGGCTAAGATTTGGTTTCGATTTCTAAGTTTTACTTCTTTTAAATGGATAGTACCAGAACTCAGTCCATAGTGAGGGTCCCCAAGTCACTTATTTCCATGAAAGAATACTCTTCTAATCATACTATGACAAGTTTTAACTCTCTGTTCTTGGTAACCAAACTCTGCAAATGTGAGACCCATATGTTTATAATAACTTGCTGCCAGAGAACAGAGGTTTGTTTTTTAAAGCTTAAGTTGTTTTAAGTCAATATTTAAGAAAAATTTAACAAACCAAAAAAATTCCTAAACCAAGTGATTCTGATAACTGTGGACACACTTTCAGTAATCAGAATATTTTAAAAAAGCATTGATAATTGATATTTTAATAACAGCATAGAGGGATTCAAAGCATTCCTCATCAAAATTACTTTTTTTTTTAAATATTACATTTCCCTTTCTGGAAAGTCTCAAGATATAGAATGAGTGTCTTTTTGGGAACTTTTCTCCCATTAAGGACTTATAATTAATAGTGTATTACATGCTGTACTTTTTCTCAGTGTTAATCTTTTCCATAGAGACGGTACAAGTAGTTTCACTGAGAGTGACTAATAACTCAAAACTGCAGTTTCTGGGTATTTTCCAAGGGCTTTGTAGGAGTTGTATTATAATGTTTGTGGTGTTCATGAAGTAAACAATAAAATGGAACAAATAACTGTTGTCTCATACCCTGTTTGAACTAAATTGAAAATATTTCCATCATATGTTTCTGTCCTTTGAAGGATGCGCTCTGGTGTCTGTGCTGCCAGCAGACTTGTAGAGGTAGTTTAAATATGACTTTTCTTGAGCCATGAAGCAAGCAGCTTTGAAACTGACCAGGTCTCTACTTTCTTACTTGTGCAAAGGGCTTTTTACTTTTTTAAAGGTGTATTTCTATTCTGAAATGGTTAATTACATGGTCAAGTTTGACCATACCAGACTTTTAAAAGGATGCTTCAAATCAAACAGGCTAATAACAAGGCATTTAAATGAAAGTAAATGGCTTGGTAAATCGGTTTATATTTTAAGATTGTGGGTCAGATATACTATTTCTGGGATTGCTGTCTTTTTTTAATAAGAAAAAAGTGTTTAAATAAAAAAACACAATTTGAGACAGAAGTGTAATTTACATTTCATTCTTTTTTGAGGCATACTGCATGCAGCACATTTTTAAACAAAACCACTACTGGTATTCATAGAAAGAACAGAGAAAGCATGAACACTCCTACCCTTAAGGGAAAAAAGAAGAAAAAGAATGGAAATGTTTTTCGGCTTCATGACGGATTATGTTTTTAATAGTTTTGCCACAACAAAGCATTTTATTGAAATGGCTGCTTTATGCCAGATCAGGACACATACACTATTATTTTAATGAGCTTTAACAAGAACCCACATTACCAGATGAGAGAATTTATGTGTGTGAGAGTGTACATATACGAATTTTTAAGAGGGGAAGAAAGCAACTTACTTGTTTTTCAAAAGCAGTTGGCACAAGTCTTCTCAACTCAGATAAACTGTTATTTATCCTATCACGACGCCTTTTCTCTATAATCTATCCCAAAAGAAAAAACAAAACAAAACAAGAAAGTTTATGAATACATGAATAGTGAAATTACGCATAGTGGAAAGATATAAAGTTACATGTTAGACTGATTTCATGAAATCAAAGAAAGAGGGGGAAAAAAAACAGTACACATACCCCTCTTCTTTTCTTTCTGGCCATAATCTGAGATGTTGTTGTCGGAGAATTTGATCGAATCACAGAGCCCGTACTTTGCCTATGAAACAGTAAGAATGTGTCAGGTGCTACATAACACAATGATTGTTCCTTGTGGGTACCTGATGCCACCTATTAAATATTCAGTGATTACACTACTCCCCTAAGTGTTTGGTCCTTTATTCTTAACTCTTCCTTCACTTCTACACATTTTGCTTTTTAGGCCTTCTGGTCTCTCTCTCTAGGTTTGAATTACATCTTTTAATGGATAGTCTTGACATCAAGGCCATAAGAAAACATTGTTTTGAGCCTTTACCTATAACTCACTGAAACAATTATATTAAGACTTAGTGAAAAGTATGTAAGTTTAGATACTTCATGGTTCCACTTAGATTTTTTTTCAAAAGTCAGCTAACCTCTGATAGCATTTCCTTCTCTGGCATTGGATAAAGCAAGGCTATTTTAAAATAAAGGTCACATTAAAGTCCTCTTATCAAACAGATACATTCTGGTCATGTGTCACTAGCATTCTCTCTAGATCCAATTATTAAAATAAACAAAAGCTATTTTATTTTATTTCTTAGCACAAGAAAAATTAAACTTTGATATGTACCTAACTCCCAGAACACTATGAATCAAATAAGTTATTAACACACATCTATCAAACTAAAGGGGAATGGCCAGATAAATCTTCTTTACTCTGAAATGAATCTGAGCCTTGCAGTTGAAAACCTTCCAGTCTTAAAAAAAAGTCTAAGTTTAAACCTACCTATAAAGTATAGTCTGGGAACTGCATCTTGAGTTCACTGTCTCATTCATTTTGTAGTCACTCTTAATTAGTAAGACATTTCTTTTTTCATAATGTGCAAAGATTATGCAACTTATGTTCATGAATTTGCTGTTTTTATTATTTGTGCTGTTTCCTTTCAAAAAGGATGGTCAGAACTGCTTCCTGTCTTAGAATTCCACTGTAACTAGCTCCGCTCCTTCCTTTTCACTCCTGCCTCAAACATTCCTCCTTTTCTTCAACGTCTTCTTCACCCCTCAGCCTCGTTTTTGAGCTATGACATACTGCACTTTGGGAAACACTTAACTAGATTACACAGATCAGCAGTTCTCAAAGTTTTTAGTCTCAGGCCCCTTTTGTACTCAAAAATTACTGAGGACCTCAAAAGCTTTTATTTCTAGGGGTTATCTATCCATGTTTACTATACTAGAAATTAAAATACCATTAAAATATCTTGCATTATTATGAAAGAAGTTTTTATCTCAAAGACTCCTGAGTCCTCAGATCACACTTTGAGAACTACTGGGACAGAAGATTTTTTTAAACTTTTCAAATAACTTTGGCTTTTTGGTGTTTGGATTGCTATGAAAATACCAAAGAAAAGTAATTTCCAAAAGGCAAGAATCCTGACCTCTGCATGACACTTAGTTGAAAGTAAATAATTTAACAGCTCCTGGGAATGCTAATTAGAAGCAATTATAACTTGACCTGCATTGGCACTAAAATGCCAGGTAACTCTGTCATGTGAAGTGGTGATTTGTTTTCTACTAACATGACCCAACTCTTTTTCAGCCCTAATAATCATGCTGATACCTGAGTGAAAACGATATTGTCCGACAACACCCTTATAACAGAAGGTCATTTTATTTCTGGATTGCCAAAGTCACATATGCTTATTCCACAAAGCGCCACCTAGCCTGTCTGGACATTATAAAATTGCCTCAAAATTTCCAGTGGACGTTTTTGAACTCTTCGGTGAAAAGAGAAAAAAGAAATCTTTCTGTTTTTCCTGCTCCTACAGTCCCATTTTCGAAAGGGGTCCAGATTGGACCTTCAGGAGCTGGGACACCTTAAGTTTACCTAGTCATCTGCAAAGCCCCTAGTGGGGTGTGACAGCTACAGGTGATCCATAGCCTCGGAAGTCAATGGCTCATTAAATCTCTCACAACCACAGAAGGTCTCACCTCCCTGGTGTTCCACCCCACCCCCAAAGGATTAAAAACCCACAAAGTCCTCAAAAACAATACAATGCCCCATATAAACCTCTAACGTCACTACTCAACTAAACGCGGATGGCTTCACAGGCAGAAGTTTTCTGGTCTCCTCCAGGATGCCCGGGAGGTAAATACTCCCCGAGATGTCGCAAGAGATGCTCACCCACACTAGGAGTTTCCCACAAAGCCTTGGCCACGCTGGAAGGTGAGGGGACCACCTGGATCTCGCTTCGGCCCGCTCCAGCCACCCCTGGAACAACCCCCGATGGAAAGAACCCCCTCCTCGGCTCCCCACCACCTGAGCTACTCACACTCACCCCGAGTAATTGTTTTCGCTTCCCACGTCTATGGTTTCATCCATGTCGCTGTCTGAGGTAGTTTCCTCACAAGGTCGCTTCATCTTGGCGAACCGGGGGGATGCACACGGCAGGCTAATGAGGAATAAATACCCACCCGGGTGCTTTTCTTTTTCTCCTCTCCCCCCACCCTCCCCTCGAGGGTCTGCAGCGTAGCGCAGAGCGGGGCGAGCGCGGCACGACGGCGGCGGCTGCAGCGGTCTGTTCCTGCTTGCTCTTTCCCACGCTGCAGTCCCTACCTCCAGCGAGCGCAAGTGCCCAGTCTCCAGGCACGCCCCCTTCCCCCCCGCGTACTGTCCCGGGTGTAACCCCATCCTCCCGCCCCCCCTCCGCGGCTGGCTCCCCCGCAGGCGCCGCCTATTGGACCGAAAAACTCCTGATGGGCAGCATCAGCCCGCCCCCTCTCGGAGTCGGGAGCGCTTGGGATTGGCTGGTGGCTGAGAGGCGATCGGGGCGGGGGGGAGGGGCGCAGGGGGACTGGGAGGAGGGGTGTCCTTTGCGAAAGCCTAGAGCCAGTGGGTAGTTTCCAAGCGTGGGAAAGCAGCCGCTGCACCTCCGGTTCTTGGGAGCTGCGGGCGGGGAAAGGCGCAATCGGGTCGACCCCGTGGCGAGTGTTACCGAATTTCACTGCTCGATGTAGGGAAGTTGTGCTGACGCCGAGACTGAGGATCAGGTGTTGAGTGCAAGACTTTTGGTTTCGGCACCCCCTCTCCTACCCCGCCCCAACCCCACCCCGGTCACTTTCGGTCCCAAACAAAGTTTCTGGGCTACGTTTAAAGAGCAACCTCAAACGCGTGGCTCTGTGTGTGCGTGCGTGTGTGTGTTTGTGTGTGCTCGCGTGTTTGGCCGAGGTATGAAAGGGAGAGTGCCCCTTTGGGCTCTTCCCTTCTCGGGATCCGTGGTTCCAAAGCTCACATGATCGCTGTCTCATCATGTAGACCTTTTTATCCTCCTGTCCTCTTAAAACTGTTCTATTGGAGATTCGTTTTCTCTCCCTAAATTTCCATTGCTTCTCCAGCGCAGAATATTTGGGAACATGGGGTTCGCTCAAAGGAGACTGGAATCCAGAGATTTCCTGAAACGGGTCGGAAGAGCTACTACGATATAGAATAGTTCAATTTCTTCCTTAACTCTATTTCCAAGTCTTTTAAAGTACCTAGTTATGTGTGATTCATGCGCTTTTTTGGGGTTGCATTTTCATTTTCCTGCCCTGGGGGCGAAGGTATTCGCAAGCTGGAAGGTGACCCTAAGTGATGTGACTGCACCTAGTGGCATGGAGAAATGAGGAAATTAGATGGATAATTCAGGATTTACCTCGAGCTTGAAAAATCCAAATACTTGGAGCTAGAAAAGTTCTGGAAATTTGATTTTGCTTGTACATCCAGATAGTTGTCTCAGTTGTCTTTAACAGCGGAGTTGTCCGTAACAGCGGGCAGGCGAGTCACAGAATAAAGGATTTGGGACAATCGAGCAATGGAAAGTAGGGGAAAGCAGTGTCTGTGAATTTAGGATTTAAACTAATTTTTTTTGGTTAAACAATTTTTAAAAATCACTTTCTAAGGCACTGGTCCAGTTTCTTCGACGTTTTTTCAAACTTTCTATTTTTGAAAGAAATTCCAAACTGCACTCTTCAAGTACTGAAAATACTATTTAAACCAGCTATACAGCTTTGCGTATAGAATGGCTAAGACAGAGCCGACGGAAAGTTAGCCTTTGGGTTCCCCCGCCTTCCCTATTTAAGATCCCAGGCGTTACCGCCCCAAAGCTAATTTTTTGCTTTTTATGTGTAGGCTGTGCAGAGGCGCAAAACGAAGCTTATTAGAGCCCTTAAAAACCAACCAGCCAACCAACCAAACAAAACCTAGACCGCCACTGAGAAAAATAAATTAAGATTCTCTCCTAGATCTCATCAGTGATCAGACCTTAGATTTTCCCATTTAAGTCCCATTCTTCTCAGGATAACAGCTCCAGGTGTTCCCTTGACCCACTTAAGTCCCTATCCACAACCCCAACCCAAACTAGAAGGTAGAAGGGAAGAGGAACCAAGGAAACACGGCGAGGGAAGAACACTCGGAGGCAAATGTGAAAAAGCGTCGGCTGGGGAAGGGGTGGGAAGGAGATAAGAACTGGGGTCAGGGAGGGCTTGCTCCAGCAAGGGAGAAGCCGGTGACAGATTCTAGTTGAGTAGAGAGAGGATCGATAGCCTTAGGGTGAAGCTGTCTTTAAAAAAACAAAAACAAATCAAAACAATAACAACAACAACAAAAAACAACCCCGAAAATCCTTCTTACCACACCGCCCTCCTCTCTTTTTGTGTCAAGCCCACTGTGGAGCCTGCTCTAACCGTGAACAGAAATCTGACCCTTTTCATCCTGCCTTGAAATGTAACCTGCCCAGAGGACAGAGTCTGGGCGGCTGTGGGGTGGATTGGGGAGGCGCAGGAGGGAAATAACGTGGGGAGGGGGGTGTCAGAGCTGGTGTAGAGGGAAGGGGACGTGGGAGGTAGACAGAAAGCAGAAAGGACCCTAGCGCGGGCACTCGAGTTGTGTATGTGTTCAGAAGTCAAGCACCCAGCCTTTACTCTTGTATGGCCTGTAGTTGTGTTCAATAACTAAGCTTTGAGGTATCCATCTAATTGCGTGGGGACAGAGATGCCCAGAAACTTTGGGCTGCCTGGAGCCTTCACTCCTACTGCGCGCTCCTCTTCTCCACTTTCTCAAGTGGGTGCGGCTGCTCTTAGGGTACCGTAGACTAACCTAGGCTACCTGAGCTGTGCTCCTCTCCCCTCCCTCCTGGATCTAGCCAGATTATCCACTCCCTCCGCCCCAGTAGCCTCCCCCTCCTTTTCCCCACCCTTAGGAAAAGTGTCGGGGAAATACTGCCACGAGGCTCCAGGCGGCCAAGTGAAATGCGCCCGCTACCCAGGGAGTGTCAGTGCTCGGTGATCCGAGAACTACACGCGTCTGATCTTTGATGCCTCAGGCTGCGGCGGCGGCGGCCCTAGTAGGGACGAGGCTGATCCTGGCGGCGCCTGCCTAGGAGTACCAGGAAGGATCTGATGTGTTCCCATTGTAAATACCTGGTGGGCCGCGTTGCCCACGCGTCTGACCTGTTGAAAATAAGAAGACTGCTCCACCTTTTCTAAAAGACAAACACACACACAAACCCCCAAAGTAATATAAACGGGGTAAGACGGGAAGGTGCAATCGGGAGTTTGGTGTTCACCTTAAATATCCAGGAGAGACTCATTTCTAAAATGATCAAGGATGGGGGGGGGGAATCGCTTTAAATAAAAATTAACTGTTAAGTAAACGTCTCTACTACGATCTAGTCTAGATATAGTACATGTAAACACCAGGACAGTTCGCTTGCAGGAAAACAGCGACTATTAAAAACTTCTTCCAGGGTCACCCTTTAAGTCTTGAGTATTATAAAGAATACCCCAAGTCCGAGACAAGGGAAGTCCGAAAACGTAAAAGGATTTCCACCTTTAAGTTTATTCTCAGGGAAAAACGTCCGCGTATTCGAAGAAAAAAGAAGCCCCGGATATTTTGAGCAATGTCGTAAGAATGGGATATTTAACTGCGAAATGCTTAATCTCAGTCATGCGCCTCAACGTTTCTCAATTAGATCACGCATTTCTCTGCACAAGGGTCAGTGAGGGAAGAGTCAGAGGGGGCAAACTCATACCCAATGTGCCCTAGTGTTTTTAGAGGCGGCTTGCAGGCTGCCTTTTCATGGGAATGTTATGATTGTGTGAAGACGGAATGGGGGCAGGGAATCGGGGGACAACTGCGGAATTTCAAACTCCATTGCCCCGCTGGGACATCCTTTTCAACTAAAGTCTGGAGAAGGTTTGCTAGAGAGTAAGCCTGCAAAACAGAAGAGATTTCACTGCATGAGAAAGGCAAGCTTCAAGGAGCTGTTTTTTTGTTTTTGTTTTTGTTTGGTTTGGTTTTTGTTCTTAAAGTATTCCCTACTATGAGGCTCTCTTAAATACTTAGCTTAAAAAGGTGCACGTACTTTCATGTAAAGAAAATTGTGGTAGGATGGCAAATGCAGGGAAATTATCCTGAACTGAATAGAGGAGAAGATTAGATATAGGTAGAGCTGATTTAGACCTCTGAAATTCTGGACCTTTATCCTCCTAATAATTGATTTCATATACAATAATTTGAAACAAATGTCTTAAAAGCAGGTTCAGGCTGGTTATGTCCTCATAATTACATCCCTGAGGGTATATGGGTGTGTGTGTGTGTGTGTGTATGTCATATGTGTGTATATACATACATACATATATATACTTGAAGGAAGGAAGTGTTCTTGCTCCTATTATATGTTGTTAATTTTTAGTTATTTATCACCTGTATTGATGGTGGTTTCTAGGTATTGAGTCTCGCCTCATTTCAATTATAGAATTTAGAGGAAACTTCTGATTTGTTTGCACACACGTTTTCCTTAAAATGATTTATTTACTGCATTAAAATCTTTTCAGGACATTTGGAATAGTCTTGAGATTTAAGCTCTCATTTTCTTCCACTATTTCTGTCGTTTATGTACTTCTTTTTCCTAGGATACTTTGTCACAGTTCATTATTTGCTGCTACTCTCAATCTTTTGAGATCTTATTTACAGTTACTTCCAAAGCCTGCTACTCTAGTATTTGGATTGGCTTAAAAAGTCACCAAAGCAAAACACCACTTTAAAAGAAGGTATTTACATAGCTTCTCAGTTAAACAGAGCAACCCCTTCATTTAAAAGAGGTTTGTGCCTTTCCAGGAAGCCTAGATGGATGTAGATCTGATTGACAGGTCCAAAATTCAAACCATCCTGAATATCATCACTATTTAAACAGTTTCATGGTCCAAAATAAGAACAAACTGGTTGCCCCTAAAAGTGTTGGGTCTATTTGCATTTGCCTGGTGCAGGTGACAAGCACGTGCTCATGTGTATCTGTGTGTTGCCTTGTTCTACTGCCTGCCTGACTAGCTGGGTTATTGTAAGCTGGCAGCTCCTTGAAATTTATAAGAATGCTTCACCCCAGGAGCACAGTGCTAAGGGCAAGATCCTTGTAAATTTCAATACCTTTACTCACAAGCATTTTGGAGTCAGGCTCAGCAGAGAGGGTCAGGGTGTGACACACTTCTGCTAGCCAGAAAAACCAGAATGGAGACCAGCTGCAGGGATCATTTTAGGCCCACCAACCTTGATGTCATTCCTTGAAGGGGGCTGCTTCAAGAATTAACAATCAGCCGGTCTTGTTAACCACAGAATGTATACACTATTACGTGTGACTTATTTTCTGTATCCTAGGTTCCAATGTGAGAGAAATCTAAGATACTACATATGTTTTCCTGAGAGTTAGAGATTTAAAATGAATATTCTCATGTCAATGAGCAATGTACTTAAAAGCTTTTATTTGTGCCTAGTATATGCCTATGGATGAATTCTGGTTTTACGGTGGGAACATCTGGCAAATAGGAAATGAAATAAGATAACTGATTAGTTTCCCATGATTATCAAACAACAAACAGAAAGTTATAACAATCACGAAGAACTAAGATGGGATTGATTTGAAATATGAAGGTGGTGGTGGTGATGTATGTGTGTAGGCATTTTAAGGAAACTCTTAAAAATTCACTTTTTTCTGTCTTTGATT